AGAGTTTGGTGGAAATCCCGATAACCAACTCCGATGGACTAAATTTTGAGTACGACAAGCTGGATGAGTCCATCAAAGCCGAACATGAGGGTTCTGTATCAGTAACTGTAATTTCAGACGTGGATGATGATAATGAGATGTATAGTGTTGCTCCATTGGAGAAACCTACAATGACACCAACAAGGAGGTTTATAAGATCTTTACTGACGGCTGCCATTGAAGAAACTGCAGTTGCAGATGGTTATACACCTACTAATGTCCGTTCTGTTGAATCAGAGGATTCGAAAGGAGATGATGATGCTCTCAATGAGAGCCCAAGCTCAACGTCCAAGAAGAAGATGGCATTGAAGATGTCAAAGAAGATAACATTGACGAAGTTCCCTTCTAATGTAAGAGAACTGCTAGGTACTGGATTACTCGAGGGATTGCCTGTAAAGTACACTGCATGCCCTGGTAAGGTATGCTGTAATCTTATGTTACGTCAGAAACGATTTGTTTTGCCATTCACACATAAGAATTTCCACTTTTAGGTCTTGTGCATCACTATAGCTTGATTGGGGTTGTTGTGTGTTGAGCTACTGTGCAGAGTGTCGGGCTTCAGGGTATAATAAGAGGAAATGGAGTAGTGTGCTCGTGTACCTCATGCCAGGGAAAACGAGTCAGTGCTATTTTAATTCATCCTCTCCATTAATTGATTTTGGTGTCTTGGACTGATAAGGCCAAATTGTTCCTCAACATTTTTGCTGGAAATTTTAGGTTGTTTCAGTATATCTATTTGAGATTCATGCCGGTAGCACCAAAAATCATCCTTCAGACTTCATCTTCTTGCAAAATGGCAAAAACCTTCGTGAAGTGTTGAAATCATGCACTGGTGCTTCTATGGACATGTTGGAAGCTGAAATTCAGAAAGCCATTGGTCCCTTGCCTCCTAGGAGACCTAATTTCTGTCGAAAGTGCCAAGGTGTGTTCAAGTAAAGCCTGCCAGTTCTGCTTTTGTTTTTGACCCTCTCTGTGGGCACTATTTTTCTATCGAGTTTTTTATGGATGTTTGCTTATTTTCAGACTTTTTTGATACTGCAGGGATTGGTAATTTTGATTTATTATGTGATTCATGTCTTGAACCAAATCATCAACAAGCAATTCCAACCCCATCGCATGGGACGGCTAGCTCTGCCAAGTATGTAGTTTTCTTTTAGTTGAAAACAATAGTTTAATGGAAGATTTACATGCACACCACTTAATTTTTATGTTTTTACATATCTAACACCTAAATTTCAATTTCTTCATATATACCACCTTACCTATGTATGAAAATGTGCATTTTGCCTTTTAAAAGCTAAAATAATGGTATTTTTGATGTGATATGAAAGATTTTGGTAGTATAATTGTAAAAAAGCAAAGTTTGGATGTCAGAAATTTAAATGCATAGAATTGGAGGCATATGTGTAAATGCCCTAGTTTAATTAGCTCTTGAGTCTTGACTTTAAAGCAGAACGCATCTATTTTTCTCAGGGCAATTTTTTGCATAGTACTCAAAACGTGTTTTTTTTAAAACTAACCCCAACCACTTCTATTTGCAATATGAACATCCAAATCCCGATCGGCAGGACAAAACCCCAATCCCTAGCTAATATTTTGTAGCTTTCATTAAGTTATTAATGGTTGATTGTGGCATGTTCAAATGCATGGATTTGTTGGTTGAGCTTCATAAGTTGGGTGTTTTTTCCATAAATAATTATGTTTCAGGTGGAATGTGTGTGTGTTTCTCTTTATTTTTTTGTGATTAAGGGCTAAAAATTTTCTAGTCTTATTTAACAAAGCATGTTCTTTTTTTTTTGGGAGGATTTACACATATACCACTAAATTCTTATATATTTACCTATCTGACATTTAAACCTTACTTTTTACGTATATACCACCTTATCCATGCACAAGAAAGTGTATTTTACTTTTTAAAACTTAAAATAGTGGAATTTTTTTGGTGATATAAAAGATTGGGTGGTATGAAAGTTAAAAAAATTAAAATTTAGGTTTTTGATATACTAATGGATAATAATTGGTGGTATGCATGTAAATGCCCATTTTTTTTCATATGACACCGTATTATTCCTCACTTCTCCTCCTCCTGAAACAAGCCACTTACCTGCCTCTTGATGATTCTCTGTTCAAGTTTACCTAGGAGAGTTTTGGTACCATTTCCATCTGATGGCACACCTAAGAGCTTATCTTCCCAGAAAAAACCTAGCTACGGAAAACCAACCAAAAAGTTGGTATCTTTATTATTTTGTTTAGATCTATTGCTCTGCAATTCACTGCTTATTGGCTTTTATTTTTTTAATAAATTTTCCTATTTTTTTTTATAAGGGACGCGGGACTGCACAAGCTGGCCTATATGGATGACATTTTACCCCAGGGTACCGAAGTGGGATACTATATTCGTGGAAAGGTGTCACGTTGGTTTTATTTTAGCAGCAGCTCAATGATATTCTATATTTGAGATATATTAATATTGAGAAATTCTGCTCTTTCGTTTTTGCAGAGGTTGCTTGAGGGTCATATAAAAAATTCAGGAATATTCTGCAGTTGTTGCAACAGTGTAGTAAGTCTTTTATTCACTTAGCTCACATTAAGCTGATCTCAATTGAAAATCATTACTTTCAATGTGGAAAAATGCTATATTTTGTCTCGCTTTTAGTTTTAAAAAATTTTGTTATTTTTTACCACTTCATTCTTCTTATGTCTAGTGTCGGCTTTAACATTATGCAATGTTCTAAGATTTTATTTTTGTGCTTTTTAAGTTTCTTAATAAAGGCAAGCTGAAATCCATAAATTCTGCTGGGTGGGGGGAGGATTTCTAGTTTTTATTTTCTAAGGTGCTATTTTTGTTTTAATTGTTGCTTCTACGAATAGGTTAGTCCTTCACAGTTTGAAGCTCATGCTGGCCAAGCATCGCGTCACAAGCCGTAAGTTAATATTTGAAAGCTCAGCATCTGTTTGAAATGACCGTTGTTGTATATTCTCAATCAGTAATAAATTTACACTTTATTTTTTATTTATTGCAGCTACTATAATATCTATACTTCCAATGGAGTGTCACTTCATGAGCTGTCAATTTCCCTGTCTAAAGGCCGTAAATTGTCAGCTACGGAAAATGATGACCTCTGCAGCATTTGCGCAGATGGGGGGGATCTTCTACTTTGTGATCTCTGTCCTAGGGCTTTCCATAAAGGTATGTTTGTTGTTTACTGTGAAATGCTTACAGAAGGGCAAATTAAGTGCTTGAAGCAACCACCAATATGGCTGCCTTCACAGTATAATTGATGTAAAATAATTATATGCGGGCTTGTTGGAATCTTGCATCTTCCTTTCAACTTTTGATTTAGGGCCCATTCGGGGCAGCTTATTGGGGGTGTGGCGGTGTTCAAAACGCCGCCTCATCGTTTGAATAATGCGTTCGTCCAACGTTTTGGAGACGCTTCGAAATGTCGTTCGCCAATTTCTTAATAAGCGGGGACACGAGATCGGGAACGCGGGATCGACCCCGCGTCCCGCGTCTCCTTCTCGTGTTCGGGTAACTATTCCTCCCGTGCCTTTCTGCTCTCCCTCGCCATTGCCCTCTCTGATCTTCTTTCTAATTCTTCACCCTCGCGGAGATTGACACCACGACTCCTCAATGTTGTTCCTTCACCCTCGCTGCTCCTTCGTCCTTCCTTCGACTCATATGAGGTATGTGAGGGTTTTTTTTCGAGGTGGAGTTACAATAGTGCGATTCCTCTGCTGTTTTTTTCTAAGGTGGAGTTACAGTGCAATTTTCTAGTGGGTTTGCATGAAATATATGAAATTTGTGTTGTTTGCATCAAATTCGTATATCAAAGTGAATTATGAAATTTTTTACTGGGATTTTCTAGTGGGTTTGCAATTCTCACTCGGGAATATTCGTTTTACTTTATGCTTAGCATTCTTTAGAGACGATACATTGGTATATTTTTGTTTGAGAAGACGATCCATTGTAGATCGATCGATTGTGGCAGTGATCCTTTTCATTTGTGGCAACTGTGTAGATAATGCAGTTAAAATGTGGAAAATGCAATTAATTAAATGTGTTTTATCAAAGAGTTGCTTCCACAATAATGTTATAATCACGGTTGTGACACCTAGTTCTATTGTTATTTAGTGCTTTGGAAGTTGTCCATGCTTGTGGCTTATGTTAAAGGTGTATATGCTTGTGCCTTTCGTTTGTGCCTCATGTTGAGGTGTCCAGGCAGACATTCCGACGTACTCCCCTGCCAACAATGATTGTGGTATGATGATTTCCCAGGAGGATAGTGCCGTTGAGGACAGACGACGCCAGAGTTTTAAATTGAACATTTTAATATTTTTACTTTTACTTTTAGTTGTAATTTTGTAATTGTATTTCTCCTTATTTTATTTCTTTTGATACTCACGAAATAGTGAGCACTATATTTTATTTTTTAAAACTGATCTGTAATAATTTGAGGTTTCTGTTTTATCTATTTTTTTTCCCACACAGTTCCGTTACAAATAAGTTTATTAAACAGAGACAGAATGATCATTTATCTGAGAACAACTGCTAGTAAGCTATTCTGAATAAGTTGTCCCAAACGATAAATCAGCTTATCCTGATAATCTGCAGATTATAAATAATCTACAGCTACCTGTTGACACTATTTTGGTTGGAGTAGCCCGTTGGATGCTGTCGGTCACCGGAATAGAAATCTCGTCGACCGCTCCTGAAGGACATTTTGATTTACATATATATATATAGTTTAGAAAAATATGAAATAAAACTGACATTATATTTTTCACAGTTTAAATGAAAGAGCATTGTACTTCAAACCCTGTATCTATCCCGAAGGATAAACACAAGCCGTGAGGGTGAGACTCGATCAAATAAAGTAAGAAATATATGACTTTCGTTTGGTCTGCGAAACCGTTTTATTTGCCGATAATTTTTCCTATTTAATATGAAGAATTAAATAAGGTTTATATTAAGCTGTGTTCGGAAAAGCTTCCTATAAGGGCAAACCCCTATAGTTAATTACATTTTAAATAACCGGAGTCACCTAAAAAAACTCTCGATAAAAGTCAGAAAATATTATCTTCAAAGGGGTCAAAGGATAAGACTTTTCGACGAAATTAAACAAAGAAGTGTGAAACGAGAATGCCTCAAATTTGGAACATTTTGTTGTAGAGTCCAAAGGAGTAAGAACTAAGGGATGCCACAGATCTGAAGCAGAACTTCAGTGACTTTCCAGTCTACCCTGTGGTTTAACTTCAGTTTCAGGGAGAAATTATTTAAGTGTTTCAACCTGCCAATTTTATTAATTAGAGCTCACATTCGTGCGAAATGATCACACAAATAGCCTGAAAGGTGTGAGGATTTAGGTCGTGACGGACGACAACCTCGGAATCGTAACACAGGTTAGGACTTATATTGTACAACAGATTTATATAAATGTCTAAAGAAAGGTTGAGGATTTATGTTGCACTAGGCGGACAACCTCGAAATTATATGAATTGTTGTTTTAATTTCTAAGGAGTAGCTTAGCTGGTGTAGACGTGTCTGCTGTTGAAGATGGCCGTGCAGCCCACAACGCTAGCTCCAAGCTCATCATCGTAGCACTTTCGAGTTTGATTGTTAATTTTAAGTGTACATGCAATAGTTGAGTCAACGGTCTGCTGCCGGGTACCTCCTATAAAACAAACTACTGTCTGCCTATTATAAGGCATAGTGTGCAAAAGAGGCAGTAGCATGTATAACAAAGGAAAACAGTAGAATATACAGTAGACAAGAAATAATAAAGTGTGCTGTAAAATAAAGTTCTGCAAATGTAAGACAAACCTGTATACCTCAGAGGTCCGCTGCTCCTTTAAGTGTAATTGATGTAGCAGTTATGAGTAGAGTAATAGAATTTAAGGAACGAGCTATCATATTTGTATAGGCAATATTGTATAGGCAAAAGTGAACAACAAAGGAAACGTCACCTGGAAAACTCGAGGAAAATCAACAAATAATAAATGACAGAAAACTTAAGAAAATCGACGGGTAATAATTTAAATAAAACTGTCAAAACTTCGGGAAAATCCCGGAGAAAAGACTACGGGTGTTTTATCAAAAAATTCTAATAAAACATATGAAAATGTCCGAAAAGAGGGGACCGCAAGCACTCGGGTCGGGGCTAGGCTCAATTATGTATATATTTGTACTCGAGGGTCGTCGAAGTCTACTCGGTCACCGGGATGTATAAAACCCGACACTCCACTAGAAGGATGTCCTACTGAACCTAACTTAGGAGGACACTCATTAACCCAGAACTAGTAATCAACAGGTGGACAACCAAGTTGTGATATATATTTAAAATTTATTATTTTTGGCATGCATATAAATTTCAGCCATACAGAAGGAAAATTGTATCAATTTTTGTAGTGAAAATATTTTATTAAACATTGTATCTGTTCTTATCAGTTTTAAGAAAAGAATAGTTGTCGACGAGTCGATTACACCGTCGGACATATGACAACCAACAACCTAAGAAGGTATAGGTCCCCCTCTAGTCTTATGTTGGTGAATGATACTTTCATCCCACAGTTCATCAGGTCTCAGAATTGAGTCCTAGTGTTGTCGGATGAGATATCATTCTGCTCTACTACCGGCGTGCCTTTGTCATCATCGCCCTAAGCACCAAAACAAAATCGACATACTTGCGACCTTCTTTGATGGTTTCACAATTAGCAAAAGGCTATACGTGTGCACTTATGTATCAGACATAAACACTGAAAACCGAATCAAGAAGAAAGAAAAAAAATAAAAATGGGGATGAAAAAGAGGAGGAACTGATCCACTTAAAATATCGAAAAGACGGAGGATGAATCGGCTCTCAGAACTCATGACGAAAAGACTTAAAAAAGGAGACCCTAAGATCCTTGAATTAATCCGAAAGGATATCACTTTCTCATTTTTTTATAAGTGGATTAACCCAAGGAGGGTATCTCTTTCCAATCTTGTCTCAAGCAAATCAAAATGAGCCCAAGTTAATATGACAACTGTATACATGGCTTCACCACTAACTACATATTCTCACACACCCGAGCCTGCACTCTAACGATATCACAACTTCAATGTCAAACTTCCGAAACATCCTTTATGATATCAATTTAGATCAACCCTATGCTCTTCCAAAATTAAATTTCAGTCTTTCAAATTTCGCAACTCGATCAAAAGGAAAGTAACACAAGGACGATAGCCATTCACACTTCCAACATCATGCCAAAATTAAAAAAAAAAATCAATTCCAGGCTTAATCAAAAGCTCCTTATATCAAATAAACATGAAATCATCCAGCTAAAACCACATAGCTAAAACCACATAGGAGGTGCTTGCGGCCAGGGTCGACAAACAGCTGCTAAGGCTCTCGGCCAAAGCAACAAAGAGAGGGAACAAAGAGAGGGATCAACTGTTAAGGCTTACGACCAAGGCAACCAAAACGAAAGGGGGAGCTGTTAAGGTTCACGGCTGAGGCAACCGAAAGGACCAACAACTAAGGCCCAAGGCCCAGGTAACCAACAGAAAAAGAGCACCACTAACAACTGCTATTATGCTCCCTCGACAAGCCCTTGGGTAAGGGCAAAAGCAGACAGGATCAAACTCCACACCGGACTAGTTCTTGGGCAAGGGCCAAAACCAACAAAGCCGAGCCCCGAACCAGCTTTAAATTATTTGGGGATGAACCTGCACATATATTTAACTAGGGGCAGCCAATGACACTCCAATTTCATACAAAAATGAATTCAATAGGTGGGCAGGAACCGAGCAACCCAGGGGTAAAACCGAGAACCTCAACAGGCAAAGTCGAGCCCCACGAGAAGCTAAAACCAAGCCATTCAAGGCCAAAATAGAGCTCCAATAAAAATTAAGGCCCAAGCCTCAAATAGTAATTAAGCTCCAGCCATTCCAAGGCAAAACTGAGCCATCCAAAGGCCAAAGAAAAAAAAACCCGCATGCCTTTAAAACTCAAGATGTGAAGCCAATACTCATTTCAAACAAGATTCAAACAGGAATAACGGTATAAAGAACAAGTCCGGGTCACCAAAATACCTATTCCAAGCATGAAACAATTCCCAACAGATATCTGAGCAGAAAGGGTGCCTCACGAGGAGCTAAACCAAGTCATTAAAACAAGTTACAGGGCTTTCCAAATTAAAGAAATTTTCTCATAGCATGTATTTCGAGCAAGGAAAAGCCGCAGGGAACCAAAACCGAGTCTCATATATATATGAAAAGCAAAGCGAGATCTCCAAGACTCATTTTAAACGGGAGTAATAGTAATAAAGAGCTTTGATACTTCATTCCAACATGCATTTTCAGAGGAGCAAATCTCATTTCAAAGCTACCACCATGACACTTCCATGTATTTCAAGCAAAAAGAAGGCAGCCAACAGCATGCTGTATTTTCATTGATTCTAGAAAATAATCAGGACTAACTCCTAGAACATGTTAAAAAATCCTACTTTCATATGCTTGAATGGTGAATATCACAAAATACACAGATCACATTGGACTAGCATGCCATACCCGCCCAAAAATACTATTCCCAGCAGCCCTGGCCGAGCAAAATCGAGAGAAAGAAAGGCACAGAGGAGGGGGAGAAGTACCTCTTTAATGTAGAACCAAACTAAAAAACCTCAGAGAAACACTTCCTAGCTCGAACTCCTCTCCAACAGCAAGAGGAAGTCAACCCGAGCATGAAGAACTAAAGAAAAAGGTGAGAAAGAATTTTTGCCGAGTTTTTCCTCCCCCTCAAATTTTTTTTTCTTTTTCTCTGCTTTAAAATGCTCGAAGTCTTATATAGACGGGAGAAGGAAGAGAGGAGATGATCGTAGACAGCTCGAGGAAACGAGCGGAGTAGACACTCCATACAGGCGGCTCGAGGGAGGCAGGCGGGAAGATCTCGCAGAGGATAGGATTTGCGACAGAGATAAAGGATGGAGGGGTTGTGCCACGATCGGGCGTGCGAGCGGGACGAGCAAGAGCGCAGGAGCCTAACGGGACGGGCGAGAGATGAGCCAGGCGAACGAAACAGATTAGGGCATAAGGCCTGCGGGTCTCTGAAGAATTAGGGAGAGGGGGAATATATTAGATATAAAATAGTAATGACAATAATAATAATAGTACTAATAATAATAATAATAATAATAATATTATACTTATTTTATTCATTCCCTCCCAAGCGCATCGTCGCAGTGAAACAAACGTCTCCCCTAGGTAAAATCGACGTTTCGGACGTCCATCCGGTGTGGGCGCGGTCCGTTTCGCCATCCGAAGTCGTTTAGGCAACCTCGCCGACGATTAGGTCAAAAACACGTCGCGATCCGATTTCTGTGAAAATTTTTGTTCGAGCTCAATTAATCAGGATGGTGTAGATGGTTGTCATAAGATGTTTAGAAAAGATTTGAAGTGATTTCGAGTTGACCGGGAGATTCAACTTGGTGGATTTTGGGCATTTAGCCAATTTGGTGGTGTTGGGCTAGACTTGGGTCGAGGTTAGGCTATGGTTGTGTTAGGTCCAAATTGATGGTTCAAAGTGGTCTAGGGGAATGTTATAAAGAGTTCTCAATATCAATTGGATGTCAATTTTGGGGTTTAGACATTCAATTTGGTGAAATTTGGGGAAATAGCCAATTTGGGGCAAATTTGGGAATTTTGAATGTGAGTTGAAATTGAGTGAAAATGAGGCTTGATCAGGGCCAATTAAAGGTTCAATTTAATGTGTAGGATTGTTATAAAGAGTTTAGGATTCAAATTGAGGCAAATTGGGATCAAATGGAGGTCAATTGAATAGTCTAAATTGGTTTCGGGGGCAAAAGGCTAAATTGGGTAATTGGTGGAGTTGAGGTGCTAACCATCCTGATTTGAGCCATGGACCAATGGAATATCCATCTGGATCCTCTATGTACTGGTGCTAGCTGAACCCCAATCTAGGGCTAGAGGGTCTAGAAGACCATTTACATGAGTCTCCTAAATGATCGGGGAATGATAGTCAACGAGTTTAGGTTTGGGGTTATGAATGAATGGGGGTGAAAGTGAGTAACAGTGAGTGAACAACTCCAGACCAATATCCGGGCTCAACCCTAAGGTCAAGCAGTCCTATGGGAACTCGTCTCGAGCTACTCTATATTGACCCCATCTACTAAGTGCTAGAGGTTAGGACCAATATGGAGAACCTCAAGTTGAGCAAAGAGGAGTTTAGAATTTTTAAAGGTGAGGGTTCCCTTTCTAGTTTTCTAGGAATAGACAACAGGAAAAATCCTATGGCTAGACCTTAGGCTACTAAAGAGAAAAAATTAAACCTCAACCAAAAGTGAGGTCAACACTACCCCAAACAGACCCTTAATGTTCCTTTAAATTGCAATCTTAGTTTGAGTTTTTAATTAAGATTATAAGCTTCTATTATGCTGAATATGGCATCTTAAAAATGCCAACTTGTTTTATGTTTAACTTGGTTTTTTGCTAGTCTAAGCATCTATAATATTTTGTTTTCTTGCCCAAATGGATTTTTTTATTTTTCTCCTAACAGAATTCAACTTTTTAGTGGTTAAGAAGCTAGATTAATCACTTGCATCTCCTGAAATGTTAATAACTGATCACCTCACTATTTACATCATTTTTAAATTTTTAAATGTAAAACTTGCATCGACTCCAGCGTACTTATGAGATCATGTATGATATTTGTGCAGAATGCATAGGGTTGTCAAGCATTCCTATTGGAGATTGGTTCTGCCAGTATTGCCAAAATTTACAGCAAAAAGACAAGTGTTTGGCAAAGAATGACAATACCATTGCTGCAGGACGGGTTGCCGGAGTTGATCCTGTAGAGCAGATAATTAAGAGAAGCATCTGTATTGCCCCTACAACAGAAAATGATGCTGGCGTATGCGCATTGTGCAGGTTATCATTTATACCCTTGCACTTGATTGATGTTCATGGGTTCTGTATTTAGTGTTTTATAAATGTGAGTATTTTCTTAACTCCGATATCCTGGTTGTCAAATATTGCTTTCGGAGTTCATGAAAGCAGAATGATATTGGATCCCATCTCTGGTTTAGTTAGAATTTGAACCTTTTTGTTATCGAAAATTTCACTCCAGTATTTTTTGAGTGCATCCGGTTTTATGTGATGAATTTTATACACCGCCTTTAAAAAAAAATTGGGGCATTTATATAAATGGCACACAATTCTTAAATATTTACATATCTCACTCCTAAACTTTCATATTTACACACTCAGCACTCAAATTTTTAATATCACATAAAAAATAGCACTGATACCATATTTTAAAAATTAAATACACATTTTCATGCACAGATTTAAAGCACCAAAGTCTTGTGTATGTAAAAATGAAAGTTTAGGTTTGAGATACGTAAAGACATAAGCATTAAGTGCCACGATTGTAAAAAAGAAAAAAAAGTGCTGATTTTTTCATCATGTTTGTGTTAAACATTGACATGTATGTATTAACTTGTGAGAAAACTTTGAGTTTAATTGTCGTCTCTTATTGATTTCTTTGTGTTTTTCCTACTGGAACTTATGATGAATCTTATACTTATTAATTTGAACTTTTCCAGACAGCATGATTTTAGTAGATTTGGATTTGATCGGCGTACTGTTATTATTTGCGACCAGGTATGTCTTTTACGTGGTTGAACTTTTGCGCAGTTTTTTTTGCAGTTTCCTGCTATTGTTTGTAATATGTGTTTGTTGCAATGTCTTTTACTGGTTTTTAACATTGTCGAACTTTTGCGCAGTGTGAGATTGAGTATCACGTTGGCTGTCTGAAGGATCATGGCATGGCTGATCTCCAGGTGGCCATCTCTTATCTGCTTGTTATTCTGCCCTTTATCTTATGTTGTAATTGTCTGTATTGACCCCTAAAATGGTCAAGGTAGGGCACTGGACCCATCATAGGGCTAACCTGATTTACCTCAATTTTGACTAAATCAACCTTTCCCAATCTCTCCGCCTAGACTCAATGAGTTGCTCATTAATCCAATATACGCTTGGGAACTAGATAGAATATAGAATGATTCCCTTAAGGTAGGGCAACTCCACTTTTCACAAACCCGATAACCCTAAGGGACCTGGATCACTTATTAACTAAGGTAATGCTGGGCTACTTGGTTTGTATAGTCATGTGAAGCCCACCCTAAATTTGCCTTAGTTTTAACTTAGCCTAAATAACAGATAAGCTAAGCCAGCCCAACTCAAGTACAAAACTTAGCTAGGTGGTAGTTAGGCAGATCAAATTTTCTTGACGGTAGAGGCTTGTGGCATTATTTCAACCAATTCAATCTAAAGCAACTGAAATTTTCAATACTTCTAGCAAGTTCGGCCTGATTTGATTATTTGAATGGGTTATTTCGGTTCCAAAGTATGTAAAAGACCTGATCTAGTCTCTAAACTGTTTAAACAGGGACTAGTCTTGACTTCTTGTCATTTAAATTAATTGAGGTTGCAGTTAATAGTATTTAAAATGAGGATATTTTGTAAACAAACTATGTCATTCTTAAAAATTTTCAGAATTCAATTTCGTGTTGATCTTACTTTTCAAGTATAACAACTAACTTCATGTACAACTATAGTAGATTGAGATTGTGCAGATTGAACTGGACTTTTTTTTTTTTTGTTGCAATGGAATCATGATAACAAAAATATCAAATAAAATTATTTATTATAAAAAGTCAATTACAACCTAAATGATCTTGATCCACGCTTGTTGTACATTAAATTCACTGTTATAAACATGTTAGGTATAAAATTAAATTATACCAAAAATTGAAGAAGGAAATATATTTTTGTAGTGTTGCCACATTTTTATCACTGTTACGTTCAAATAATGTTTGTTTAGATGAAAAAGTTATTTTTGTCCTTGTTTGAAGTGTTTTTGGGCCAAATCTGGCCTTTTACATAATCTTTGAATATGACGACCCCTTGCAAAAAATTGGGTGACCATTTTGGTTCCTTTATCTTTTAGTTTCTATTAAGTTGATCAAACTCAAATAAACTTGGGGGGTGTACCTAGCTTAAATTTGAGCTAGTCAAATATCACGTAGATCAACCCAAATAAATAAATCAATATAAAAGATGTCTTGATATTATTCATGTTTGACCTGAAAACCCTAGAACTTGTAGAGTCAATTGGGCCTAACAATTACCTGTTCTAGTGAGCATAATACAGGGCTCATTTGGGGCTGCTTTTTTCGTGTGGTGCGGCCCCAAACCGCAATTTTTTTTTTTCTGTTTGAATGTAGCGTTCGCGGCCGCCTGCCGCAAATTAGATGGAAAGCCGGGCCGCGGGATTGACCTGCGGTCCGCGTTATCGATCTACTATTTCTCCTTTCGCCCCGCCCCAGCATCTCGTCTCTCGTCCCCGCCCGTTCACTGCTCCCGATCATCTCGCGATGTGCTACTTCTTCCACCGTCGCCAAAGGAGACTCATCTTCCACTGTCGCGTGAAGCCTCATCTTCTTCCAGGGTAATCTGCTTCACCCCCCTTCTATGTCCTATCTCCTCTCACATTTTCACCCAAAACCATCACCTAGGAGACCGAACCCTCACGATACAACTCTCCTACTCTGTTTTCTTCCCCACTTCGCCTGATGTCCAAGCCATCCACATTTACTACTCTGCAATCCATAAGCATCAAGCGTCACCTTCTCCAGATGTACATAGATGAGGATTTGAGTGCACTTAAGCATTTTTTATGAGAGATTCTCTTGAAGAAAATAATATAAGCAAATATATATAGGAAAATTCAGTTTCAATTGTGATTTCTTTTGCAATTCTACCATAAAAGGATGCACTACTTGCTCTGATAGAGTTGCTTTCCAAGGTTTAAACTTCTAAAATTATTTTTCAAGCACTTTTTCTTAGTGCAGTTTAAAGTAGATGAAAATTATTTTTTTTCAAATAAATGTATAAATTTAATTTTCATTTTTTTTACTTGAAATTAAATTTATTGTATTTAAAAATGCTACAGATAGTTTGAATTTTATTTTGATTTCCAATAACAAAGCTAATAGATAGTTGGAATTCTAAGAAAAAAAAAGATACATAAAAAATTAATTTATGCTTCTCCCCCACAAATAGTTAATAATATATCATATAAATTTATGATTGTTAATGTAATACAGAGCTATTGTTTTAGGCCACAAGCTATCACACCTCTTTGATTCTGCTTCAGAAGTATAAAAAATATCACAATCACAGTTCATTTTTAAACAGTTTTACCAAACAGAAGTAACATGGTCATCTTCCAGTAACAGCTGACACACAGCTGTTTTCACACAGCTGCACCAAACAGACAGCCAGATTCTTCACAGCAGCTTTCCCGCAGCAGCTCCTTAGGGCAGCACAGTTGCAGCTGAAAAGTTGAGAAGTTGCAGCTACGCCAAACAGAGCCTTAATTTGACCCATATTCTGTCAATGTCCATAGTAAATCTCATTAAGCATGCTTTACTCAAATCAAACCTAAGTCCAGTTTACTCAATGTTAACTCAAATTCTAAATTTAATGCTTGAAAAATTTCAATTAGATTAACCAAATTTCAGTTTGAGCCTGACTTGCATCAATTTTGAGATTGATGTCCAAACCCACAGAAGTCACTCTGCGCTGATGAGTGATCAATATATTTGAGCTCACTCCCTAAGATCTTGCTCATGCTTACGATTCATTCCTCAACTATATCCCAAATACAAAACCAATTTGACCACTTTCAATTCATAGTGTATTTGAAATTCTTGATGGTGTTCTTAGGCACCGCAACTGAGATGTAACAAACATGCTGATTTGCACCTATAGGAGACCTCAATCCCTAAGAGATAATATAAACCCTAGATACATTAAATTACCGTTGAAGTGAAAAATATTGGAGAACAAAACAACCTGCAATTTTTTTTTTTTTTTTTTTTTTTTTTTGGCAAGGGCTATTGAGCCTAGCTTGTTGGACTTTGCTCAAGCTACTAATGAAAACATGATTCACAAAACTTCTGTGATATAGGTATTACCTAAAGGGGAGTGGTTCTGTCGCCCAGATTGCAGTAGGATTCATGCTGTTTTACACGATCTGCTTCGACAAGGAGCAGAGGTCCTTGATGCAAACATAATTAAAAAAAAGCTTGATGAAAAGGGTTTAAACATTGATGCTGCTGCTGATGTAAGATGGAGACTTCTTGGTGACAAAAGTGATTCTACTGATAGTAAAGTATTACTATCTCAAGCAATTTCTTTATTCCGTGTAAGTGCTAGATGTTTCATATGAAATATTCTACTATGTATTCGTTATCTTAATTAATTATAAATTAAGGCAATTTTTTTATCACATTTTGAACAATTTTTTTGCCTCAATTTATAATTTTTATTTTATCGCATTTGTTACTAGAAATTCATTTTTGATTTTGCTCATTTTACTTGGATTCATTAGAAATTTTGTCTGACGCTTCTGTTCCAAAGAACATGTTAGGCTTCTCCATTACACTATGACCATTGAGGCACGATAACTTTGTATCTTACCCCACTCTTAGAAAGATCTATATGCTTTACATCCTTTAAAAATTATACAAGCACAAATGCAAAATAAATGTCTTCCAGTGTGCCCAATAGCTTGCGTGCTTGCTCATATATTTAGTAGATATTGTATTGTATCTGTGGTTGAAAACTCACTGCTACATGATCTAGAGCATACTCACTTCACTCAATGCTTTCATTTTTTCAATTGCTTCTGTCCAGTTTGTTGTTCTTTTTTGTCTCCTATATAATAACCCTTAAACTTGATACATCTTTGGTCTGTAAAATTTTGGCTGATTTATCATCTAATTTTAAATTGGCACAAATAGGTGAAGGTTGAAAAGCAGAGTGCAAGTCCTTTGATTTGTTGATAAAGAAATAGTTGAACAGGGATATCATGGCCATCCTTAGGAACAATATGTTTATATTTAACAAAAAGAGGCAGTTTTAGTTGCTCCAAAATATGATAAAAAATGAGAGAGAACTTGATGGGAGACAATTAAATCTTTCTTTGCTTAAAGTTCATGAAAAAAAGTGCTTGTAAGATATACCGGCCATTTAAATTTGATGGACAATTTTTTTTAATTTGATATATAATTTTAGTATACCTCTGGTTTTTCACTTTTAGAGACCATGAAGATTGTTCTTGCTTATTAAAATTATTCTGATATGCCATTATGATTTGAAGCATATGAGTGGTGTTCATGTTTGTCGGTCAACTTTTTTTTTCGATTTGATTGATTTAGATTTATTTGAAAAATATGATATATGAAAATAATTTTTGAGATTTAATTTAAATATAAAAGATATATAGTTTGGGTTTTGAAAGTAGTATGTTTTAATTTTTGAAAAAATGAGACCAAATGGATCTCATTAGTCTGATAGTTTGCAAAATCGTGCCTGATACCGCAAATACTACACCTTCCCGAGAGATAAGTGTAGACCTCAGCGATAGACCCAATCCTGCAAACTAAGAGATTTGTGACATCCGTTTGGTCTGCGAACCTTTTATATATGACCGACAAATTCCCCTATTTAATACAAAGATTAAATAGGGTTTATTTTACCTGGGTTCCAAGTTCCCTATAGAGGCAAGCCCCTATAGTTAATTACATCCCAAATGACGGGAGTCATTTGAGAAAACTCTCGATAATGATCAATGGTTCTAGTCTTCAAGAATTCAAGGTT